CAGGTACACAGCTGTAGCATCACAGAGCAGCACCTCAGCCCACCGAAACATTAACAGCAACTTCCATCATATTATTATAGAGCAAGAGACCAGAGCAAGAGCAACAGCGGGCTCCAAAGCAACATCTGCTGCAGCAACTCAAGGACCTATCAAATTGCTGACTCACAGGTCCACCGTGGCACCAGCAGCAGGGGGTTCTATCAGATGATTGCACTGTACTCGCTTCTGCTCGCCAGCATGTCACAAAATGTGCTACTTAACAGAACTGTAATCTATGTGATTCAAAATGCTTTTCAATTTTTTTTAAAAAAAGCCATAAAAATTCAAATTCTTGCAGTGCGATCCCAGACTATATCACTGAAAAAGTTTAGGTGTCTCTGAAATCTATGGTAAAAGTAAGAACAAAATTTACATACTTATATGCATGTGTTGATGTTCAAGATTCATATAGAATTAGTGCTTTTTTTCTCTTCTTTTTATCAATAAACCTTAGAATTATAGTAATTGTAAGGGCAAAATTAGCAAACTCACAAGCGAAAATGAGAATTATTTTAATTTCTGACTGGAAAAACATTATGTACGAGAAAGTTACATGGGAATGGAAACCTGCATCGACGAACAGAATCTCAGCTTCCAAGCTGTGACAATTCTATTATTTCACGCATTAACTTTCAATTTTGTACTACCCATGAATCACCCTCACATATTTGGATTTTCCGGACAAAAATCTGATAAAACACACCAGTAAGGCCCAAGAATTAAATTCTCAAAACACATTTTACCCAAAATATTCTATAAAGACAGAACTAAGACAGTTTCTTCCTCCTGCCCATCTGTTCTACTTTCGTACTGTGGTTGAACCAAAAGATGAAATCATATAGAAATCTGAAGATCAAATCCACATAATTTATCAGAAATCATAATTAAGTACAGTCCGAAAACAGTGATAACGATGATTAGCACCTATAATCAGGGCATGTTCGAAAAAAGTAACACTATAATGACTGTAAAGCAGTGCCTTCGCTAAAATAAAGAAAAAAAAAAAACCAAGGAAAGGGAATCTGTAAATCAAACATTAGGGAGCATGTCGCCAAAATAATGATCACTCCTGAAATTGAACATAACGAGAAACAGCATGTGTAAAATCTGAAACTAAGAAGACATAACACCAACAAGAGAAATTAGAAAACCAAAGTTAAACATCTTTATAATCTAAACAATACCATTGTTAATATAGCAAATATATGAAAAGATCTGACAATATGAGCTCACCACTCCAAATATCCAATGTTATTTCAAACTAAAAGAAAAAAGAAAAATCAGAATGTAGTTTCAAAAGGCTAATCCCAAGGATTACTTCGACCAGGCACTGGTTGGTAACACACTGGGCATATGGGATTCCTCAATAGCCAAGTGATAATGCATTTGGAATGATATGCATGTGAGCATGCCAGGAAGGATATTTCTTCTCCAGCAGCAGGCATGTTCAAACAAATACAACATTCATCCCTAACTACGCATGCTTGTCCTGGATTATTATCTTCTACTATAACTTTCGCAAGAGAATCAATGAATGACCACTTTCCAGGCAAGAATGCAAACTTAAACTTTCGAGTTAACATGTCCACCTCTAGAGAGCCGAACGTTAAAATCTCCGCCGTAATGGCCCTGTCCTTAGCAGCCTCAATAGTTTCATCCTCTTGTTGTACCGTGTAAATCTGAATGGATACATCTATTTGGAATGTGTAGCAGCCAGCATTCGCCGGATCAGCCCTCAATTGATTGGAAAAATCACGAAGTTGGGATATCAACTCTTCTCTCACATCCTCCCGCACCCCATAACCGCCAAAAAGCATATTGAAATCATACCTATCAAAATAATGACAAGGCAACCAAAAGCCAGTCCCGGCATAATCAAGAATTTCGTCAGCACCTTGACCTGGTCCTTTTTTTAATATGTATTTTACATTGAAGATATAATAAACACCATAAGTATGCTTGCGCAGTGACCACTGTTTCCGTTTCCGTTTGACTTCCCGTTCGACATCCCGAGGAATAATGCCTTCGGCCTGGCACAGTTGGTATTCACAATGATATCTTCCGTATGAAGCCATGTTTCTGCAAAGATTACCAAAAAAATACAAATTTATGAAAACAATACATACCAATGTGTATATATAGAGAGGGAGAGAAAACCTGCGCGTAATTCTCCAAATAAAAGGAAGTAAATAGACAGGAGAAGGAAATCTCAGAAACGATAGTTTACAGGAAGTCCTAATTCTCCCAAAGGAAATAAATAGACAGAAGAAGGAAATCTCAGAATCCTAACTCTACCCGTAATTTCGTAACGGGCCTAACATGGAGGAAATTGTGTAAAATACACGGTTGACCCGACACTTTTCCACAATAGCCTTTGACCAAGGAAAATAAAAACAAAAGGAAAAAAATTATCAAACACTTCAAAAGAAATGAAAAGCCGATTTTACCTTCACCACACTTGGAAGAAAGAAAGGCTTTCCCGTCCGGGCTAGACGGCCCAGACAGCCCAAGTTTCTGGGCTGTCTAGGTTCTGGGGGGCTTGCGGCCAGTTTCTCGGCCGTCTGCCCCAGACACCCAGTTTCCGGGCCATCTGGCGAGTCTGGGCCCAGACCGCCCAGACGCCCAGTTTCAAGGTTGTTTGGGCCGTCTGAGGCCGGACGCCCAGCTTCTGGCCCAGAAACTAGGCTTCTGGGCCCCATACGCCCAGTTAGATGGCTCGGATGGCCTTTTTTGTTTTCCCCAAATTAGTTATTTAACTGTTTAATGAACGTTTAATTTTGAATATTAAATAAATATTTTATT